TCTTGAGAATCAATTTTGGGCGAGTTTCCCCGTAGGCGTATTGCAAATAACCGCTCCGGCAGGTACGGCTGCTGTATGTACTCATATATCCATTCAGCACCGCAGCCGCTTCATACTAATCCCTTCGCTTTATGTTTTACTCAGCAAATGAAGCAAAACGAGCATCTGGTAAGGTCGTCCATTTGTGGGCGGGCGGGCGTTTGGGTCGGAATGTTGTAGCTTGATAGGACCCTTATAAGGGTACCTCCCTCGGAAAAACCGCTATGCAGCGCCTACTCAGGGTCGCGGAAATCCGCCCTGCCACTCGTACCAATCCTACTCGTTTTTAGGGATTTATCGTGCCAACTGCATTCAAAGTTCTAATTCAATGAGGCGTTCGGTTCTGTGCGACTTCTGTATCGTGATAGGTCCAGACTCCTACAGTACGACGGCAAAGCAAGAGTTTCTTTCCAGGACTTTTGGATCTCGAAAGCAGAGTATGATGAAGGTGGTCTTCCACGATGCTTATCGAAATTAAACGTGAAATAGGAGTATGAGAAGTCATTATCAGTGGAAAGGTTGTTGTTTTTGAATTAAAAAAATCATCATTACATTCATTGCCAGTTCCTGTGCTGCATGTTCAGTTAGTTTATATTATCACATATAAGGTTCTAATATGAATATTTAATTATAATTTTTATGACGTTGATAATTTAAGTGTTTTAATGTGATATGTTTATGTTAAATTATAGCGTTCTCCTGTTAATATGCGCCCTATGTATTGTTATTGATCACTTTTTTCGTGCTCTACTGCTCACTCCGAAGCTCTTATGATGAACTCGGTCGACACTCTCGCGTGTACATTGTTAACTGATGTGTGTGTCTGTTTGTCTGACTGTCCTCTTTCATGTATTAGTCCATTCCGCCTAGCTAGCCGTGTTTGAATTGAACGAAAGTGGACGCGGGCGGTTGCGATGCGGCATCGTGCTCAAATGATCAATACTCATGGCTTGTAGATGTCTAGATGGGCGGCATGACTGTTCAAATGTTTTCCTTCATTTGTGGTAGCTCTTACCAAGGCTTTTTCATTTCCATAGTCATTTGATTTCTCATATTTATTTTTTTTTGATTGTATTCGTCTAAAGATTTAAATTATCAGAATGTGTGACCTGTGAATGACATATTATGCACGTACACGTTTTTATTCGTAAAACTGACGAAGACGTCCCAGAAATGGTTCCCACGCTTGCGCGCAATGGCCCCCACCCACTTTCTACCCGACAATGTTTGATGACTTTTTAGTGCATGACGCCTGTGACACCATTTTGTTCGCTGTGAGAAAGTTCTTTGTGTTCCGATTGTGTTTTCTTATGTCTGTCGGTGATACCAAGGGCATGCGCAAGTGCGATCGTCATGTTTAAATGGGATTTCGGCCAGGAGTGGTTTTTGGCCCAACGCGACATTTATTATTGTACCCTTTTGGCTAACGTAGATTCCCGGTGTTATTTCTACTTGTGGACTGCTGCCATACAATTATCGCTTTTTCGAGGACACACTTATTTTTCAGTTGTTTTTTTAGGTTTGCATTCCTATTCTCAAGTACATCACTTGGGTCAGCAACAGCTAAGAAATTGCTTTTTTGAAGACAGTTCTCGCGATCAAGTGGTCCGCGAAATGCCTCCGTGCATTTGGCATCGTTCGTCCGCATTCGCAGAGAATATACCACTTTCGTCACTCGAAACGGCGAGATAAAGAAGCTAGAGACGCGTGATTATTGCAACCATTGCAACCACGATTACTTTCACTCTGCAAGACAACGGCTTACAAGCGGAATTGCGTGTGTACATAGCGTTGCCTGGAGCGTCGTAGGGTGATTTCCTGTGTTTTGCCGGGAATGGTTGCACGTCGAATCCTGCTGACTGGGCTTGCCGACGTCCGACAAACTCGTCCAAGGCGCCCGTTGCCAAGGGGGTCTCTATTCAACGTGTTTCCGGGGTTTTTTTTGCTTCTTTAATAGAGAGTTACTTATGCATATGGAGTACAGTATGGTTGGAAGAGTCCCATGAGTCCCAAGAAGGTTGTACTGGCTTTGATGGAAGTTTATCCGAGCCGCGATACAACTTTCAGGTTGTTGACTTTTGGGAATTTTTTGTTTCGTGTGCGCCATATACTCCCATCCCCTAATAGTCGCCATTGCGAAAGAACTCTCCAACAGTTATTCCTGATAGTGGAATTATTGGGTGATTGGTGAAAACCTTCCCCTTCCCTTTCGGCGGTTTTTTAGGAGAAACCGGTCATATTTCTAGGAAACTGAGAAAAAAGAAAGGCAGCTGGGGGAATTTAGGAAAATGGAGTAGGATGGGGAAGAGGGTCATACTAGTGGATGAAAGTTGCGGAGGGGGGGGGCGTACTGACACCACTTCATGACTGCATCACCATTTCACGCATCACTATGCTGTACCACCATTATTGACTGCATCACTATGCTGTACCCTGAGCGGACTGCAGGCTTACCGTCTGAGCCCATGAGGGCCACGCCGGGGCCCGAAGCCTAGCCCACGTGTGTTGTCCCCTCTCACGTCTTGCAGTTGATCTTCTCGTCTCCTTCAATGGTCGTGATTAACTGCAGGAACAGAGCGTTTATTCGAGTACAAGTAAGTCATTTGGCAATTCGGGAGTAGACTTGGCTGGGAAAAGTGTTCAGTGCGACATCCTGCAGCTTGTGAACTGGACCGTCGCGGAGTATGCCTTTGATCGCAGGCGCACTTTGACTTGGGGGACTTCAGCCAACTTCTGTCAAGATGCCGACCGATTGACTCGTGGACTCTTACCGAGCAATTTTGTAAAGTCAGGTTGACTCCTATAAAGCTGCAAAACGTTACGAAGACGAGGGTTTCCTTCCCGGGATGGGAGGAGCTCTGGCGTGTGTGAACTCATTTGTGTAAGGGCTGATCTGGAAATGGGCTCCGTAACATCTCTTAGCCTCGTTGGAGTTTACCATATACCCTCCTTCCAAAGGAAAATTGTGCTCTGACGCGCTTGAGGCACATCATCGCGAACTGGGTAATTCACTGGGTGATCTTAGAAAGAGCACAAGCTCACCCTGCCACTCCTCCTCCACCACCACCACCACCTGCTCCTCCTCCTCCTCCTTCTCCTTCTCCCGAACATCCGTCGAGCGCCTTGGAACAGTCCTCTAAACGGATGTCAGATATGTTGGAACTTCGACATCACCGACTGGTCATAGCGCGCCTGAAATGCTGAAAATCATCGATCAATTTTCTGACCAAGCCAAGTACGACCCTTTCCCCGTCACGAATTCCTTCCAAGTTGTGCCCTCCTCCCTTGTGTACTCGCTTTTTTCCATCGAAATTTTTATCATGTTTGACTAGATTTGTTCGTTACTTGCATTGTATAGTTGTTGCCATCACAACACTTCAGCTGCGAAATCAAGGGCCCATCACTGATTATGTGTTGTACTTTGTTTTCTGCTACTTCTGTTGTATGTTTTATGGGCACTAATTTCCATTTACGACCCAACTTCCCACTCAGGACTTACGGTTGGTTTTTACAGAGATTTGCTTTGGGGGGTAGACTCCACCGCCGGGAACTCAGGATCAACGAAGGCGATATTTGTGTTCAGGGAGGGGAGGTGCAAGGCGGTAGGGGAACTTGCGTGTTCAGGGGGTAATACTATTCCCGAGGCTACTGAATGTGTTTCGATCCCTAATCCTCCTTGTCACTCGACTTATCACTGAGCAAGCCTCATTCTACTGAAATTTTCTGAGAGTACAACCTGCGTGCGGTGGTCGGTTGACTTAGTGCGTGGAATAGAAGATGTACACATGGGATGAGACAGGTTTTTTGACTGACCTTAATTTCGCTCTACATCCAAGTAACATAAAACCCGCACTTTTCTGGGCTATCCTCTAGGCATCTTACCTCAGCTATTTGCCTCTTTGACATGATGTCGTAGGCCGAGAATCACTAAGGATCTGCTTGTTTTCCGTGAAATTTGGTGTGCTCAGAGCCAAGATCAACAAGTTACAGAAATTCTGTTGATGTGACGGTAATGCCAGTTTACCAGAGTCCGCTTGCGCCCCTTCCAAGGTAATCAGCACTCTGTTCTGCTTATTCCTATCGGTCTTTTCCCATGCGATCTGGTGACTAGTGGACAATTAGACGTGTCCTGTCGATAGGGGAAAATTCAAATGCAACCCTCCTCCGTTTCAAAATGTCTTCTTATGACGCGAATTCTTTTCCCCATCCTAATCATCTTCAACTTCCCACCATTTTCTCAATTTCCAGAATTTATTTTTCCAGCTTTTCCTTGAGAAACAGCATTCGAGCAGGGAGGGGGAGGGTGGTGTGGGTACAAAGTGCAATCAAAACGTCGAGAAATTTGAGGGAAGTCAGCAACCAAGAACATTCTTCAAATACGACTCACCTCCCTCCAGCGACCCCAAGCGTCTCCCTGGGGAACTCTGTCCCGAAACATGCCCTGTTAAGGACTCTCATCGAATCATTCGCTGGGAACTATTTTCAGTTCAATCTCGGTTAGTTGTCAAGATCTTTCAATTTCCTACACAAAATTTTTATCCTCGTATTAGTTTAGACCCGTATATTGAACAGCGATGCTGGTGACGAGCCTGGCGTCAATCGTCACGTTTCATTTGCCGATATGGGCGTTTAGCATCTTCACGGAAATCTCATTAACCTCTCAGTTTCAGATGAAGGCGCCCTAATGTAGGCCTCTATTTTTGTCTGCAAAGCTTACGATTAGATTAGCACTATCGTACATGAACGCTTGCTACCGTCGGCACTATTTTCCGAGTTCAAATTTTTGGGTCATTTCTTGCTACTGAAATCCACAGCTTAGAGCATATGTGAAGAGACTTATAGTAGTGTTCCTTGATAGAATATCGACGAAAGTGGACACTCTTCCGTGCAGGATGGGGCTCTGCAGCTTTTAGGCCTACGGGGAGAATATAAGTTTAACCACGGAAGGACAATTTTTCTGTTGGCTGTGTCGTTTCTATTACTTAAATGAACGTAGTATCCGTGGCGGGTCTCAAGTAGGCCGGCCACTAGAAGCATGGGAATGAGCAGCAAACTGACCCTAAATGTTGTAGATCCTTGTACTGTGGACAGGCTGAGGACTGTTATCTCTCACAGCTAACTTCTTGGACGCTAAATTCCTAGAGGCAAAAAGTTAGCCCATTTCGTATAGTAGCTTTTGTTATCTCACTGAAATGTCATGGACGTGCCTGGAAATATTGAGAAAGCTCTCGGAAGTAAAAACTCTCCTACATTCATCTTTTATCCTCTTTTTGTTGACCCCACGGGAACACTCAGTCTCCGAAAATGGTAACATTCGGAACGGCTTTAGTGGAGCCACTGAGTCGTTTCGGGTTGTTTTATTTAATGTTGTCGCATTGTTGTGCTTCTGGCACAAGCTGGCTAGATGGAAACTTTGGTCTCATCGTGTGCAAAGGTCTCAGTGAACGGCACCAAACTGCAGCTAGCGCTCAGTTAGTATACCACTAAGTAAGTGAAGCAGTTTTGGACATTTTGGGCACTGCTAATCTTACGGTTGGATATGTTTCGAGGATTTCTTGTACAAGACCACTTACGGCAGTAAACATGCGGGCTTTCGCCGATGCTGGAAAGGAGTTCCGGATTCTGAGAGTTCCGGAATCGATGAACCAACATAAATTACAGTTTTTTGAGAGCTGTAAGGCCTACGGCATAAAAGCCGTTGAGGTGGAACGGTAAAAAGCGCCCGGTGGCATAACCGATAGGCGAACTCCGCGCGAAAGCGTCGAGGCGGTTCGGAGACTACCGCCTGGGGCACGACTTTTGCCCACAACTCAGCATTCTTGTGATAATGAAATTACAGTAATTCTATTTGAATGACGGTAATCCCAGCTTGTCGACATGAGTCCTTTGAATGCCTCTCGTTCCATTCCCCACGCTCCATGTAGTCCTGTTCCTTGCGGGTGATTACTGTCACGTGGGACGGGTTTGTCCCGAGCCAGCTCATTTTTTTTGCTTTTTGTTTCTTGCAAGGAGCGACAAAATCTATCATCCGTTCATTGTCAGTCGTCCTTTCCAACGGTGTCGCTTAACCGGCTTCGCAGCACACCTAGCTATGGAGATCTGGACGACAAACGGTTCTTGCGGCCGCGCCATTCCATCCCCCTCGTCTAGGCTGCCCATTCTATCCGAACAGCGGAACGGAAAGACTGGCCCTTTTCGATTTGTGAACTTGGGGAAAATTGTGTTAAAGTGATAGGATTATGCACAAGTTCACAAGAAGGGTTCAGGGGTCTCCACAGGAGGCATCGGCAATGATCGATGAGAACCAGCGAAATGCCCCCACTAAGTCAAACCGCGCCCATTTTGTGAAACAATTTCAGTGGGATTGAGTTGAGGGAATGGCTGGCTTCCCGGAAGAGCTGTTAGAAATTCCTTCAATATAAGTAAAAAAGGGGAAAAAGCTGTAGTTACTTTCTCCTCGACAGTTCGCATCTAAACTGGCAGATATCCTGCAAAGGCAGTCATCCAGCTGCTTACGTCTGCAAGAAGAACCCTTCTGCAACTGCCCTTCTCATCAATTTCGATGAG